TATAAAAATAATAAAAGTATTCAAAATTTATTAAATTATTTTACATTTATATTTATAAATTTAAAACTTTATTTAGGACAGGAATATTCACGTTACTGTCGGTTTGTAGCTAAAGTTAGAAGCTAATCGTTTTGAGATTTACTTACGCGCCGAGTACGGTGTAATGTTCAAGTGTAAAGTGATAATAACATATTCTCGGAGGTTCGCCCTCACGGCAGGCGCGAGCACACTCCTCGGGCGCTGAGAGCGAAGGATTTCGCCGCAATTCAGCGGTAGCACGTTCAGTATAATCAAGAGGTCGCGTTCTTGGCGGCCTCATCGTCACTCCTCGACTACCAAGGTTGTCAATTCCGCCAAAACCGCTTCGGAATACACTACTACTGCTCGGGTGAGTCTGCACCAGGCCATGGGCCGTAGGGAAGAAAGTTGCGCTATCGTCCTGAGAGAAGATACTGGTAGAGGGATTCCAAAAGGTGGCCGATGATGATTGAGCTGCTGCTACTTGATCTGCTACTTGAACAAACATATGATATTCGAATAAATACGAAAGCTCATGAGAAGTTGATTAGTGTTTAATTAAAAAAGAAGTAATCATGGAAATAGATTGAAATCTATAGATCTAATCAATGCAAAAAGCAGGTCAATCTAAGTAAGATACATTTTAGATACTATAAATACGTATCTTATGCAACGAGAGTTATGTGTATGCAAGCTTACGCCGTTCTCATAAGATTATTCAAACTCATTAGTTATTTAATCTTTAATTATTGTGATATAATAAGACTGAAGGCAACGTAGGCGTTCTATCAAACTCCAGAAAGAAATAACGATTGATATCATTCTAATATTTTTTTAATGTTATCCATTATTTACGATTGTAAGATATTTTTTGCACAATTTTGTTTTGTCTCAATTTAATAATAACAATTTACAAGACGCAAAGTTTTGTTAACCATTTCAGAAATTAATTAATTCAATAACGAAAAGTCTTTTTAGAAAAACCTTAAATGAGAAGCAATGAAATAGGTATAAAACAGAACTCGTATCTGAGCATTTATTTGTGATATACTGTTTCCAACTTGTAAAATAATAGAAGAAAGTCGCCGATACTGACATAGATCTCCTAAAGTGACACCCCCTTATTTCTCAGAAACTAACTATTATATTTTATTAAATTTATTAATACTAATAAAATCATCATTTGTTTAATTAATTAAAAAAGTACAAACTCGTGTATTTGTGGCTTGTTTCTATACCAAATCAACTAAAAACGAATTCTACGAATGAGAAAATAAAATTTTTACGATTTTATAATAAAATGAAAAGATTCTGGAATATCTTATATACATTTACTTGTAGGTATTTTATTTCTTTTACAGATTCTGTAAAAGAAAAAGAATAGGAATACTGTCTACTATGTCAGTTTTGAAGTCCATTTTTGCTTACCTTACGAAAAAATTAATTATTGCAAAATTGCAAACAGTATTATAAAAACTGCTTATACTATCTGATGGACGACACTTTTTAGTTTGTACTTATGTTTTTAAAGTTTTATTTTTATCTTTTATTTAAGAAATATTGTCTAAAAATAAAGTAGCATGTCAGTATCGGTGACTTTCCTCTAAGTTCCTTGTTAAATTTTATACAACCGGTATGTCGTGTGATATATCATTATTTTGTCGTAAGCTACGAACGATGTTGTAACTCTATCATTAAGAGCTGTCTTTCTGCTTCTATTCCGGCATCGATCAGTCGTGTAAGCATATATAATGCAGAAGAAGTAGGAAAAGTTTGACTGCAGCAATTTCAACTCGTTACGTGCCACATTTGATAGAGTTTCAATTTTCAGTAATTCATGAAAAGCTACATATACGTTGGAATCGAGACATTCGGGTATTTCCAGAATAACACAGATCTAATACTACACAGCCTTTTAAATCTGCTATTTATACTCATGTGATTTTATGCATTTGCGATCGCAGCTTAAAAAATTAGAATATTATTATCGGCAGAGAGAGAGAGAGGGAGAGAGAGAGAGAGAGAGAGAGAGAGAGAGAGAGAGAGAGAAAGAGAGAGAAAGAGGGGGGGGGAGCGAGAGAGAGTGAAAATTATTTTCGGGTAGAATAGAAAGTTGAATTTTTTATAATATTCTCGGATTTAGATTAAGTCTAATAAGTGCACTTGAATGCGCGCGTGAGACGTGAAAGTTCAATGAAGTCCAGACATTTTTTTTTCTTGAGCAGGTGTAAAGTGGCATTCTTGTTTAGAGAGGTATACAAATCTTGATCGAAATTTAAAAGATTCTATTCGTCTTCTTAATCGTGAAGTGATCTGTGCTTATTCACAATATTAAAAAGTCTTTATAGAAATTACACATGTTCTAATTTTTATCTATTGTAAATAAATATACTAAATTGTATATAAATGTATATTGTATGTAAATATATTAATTATATCCTTGCACTAAATATAATTTTCAAAAACTATCATACTTGTTCAATATTGACAAGAAATTAAAATCTTCAGCATTGACAAAAAATTCTAATTCCATACTGCTGATAGATGCAAGATCTTTATAATATATATCTATAGACTTAAATATTTGAAATTGATTTCTACATAATTGGATAATTGTTATTAGATATTGTTATATTCAGAAAGTACCTTTATTAATTTCCTATTGCATCACAACAGATCAATTCAATTCTTCGACACGGAATTCTATGAATCAAAAAAGAAGAAAACTATTCGCGCATTGTAGTCACGTTTGAAGTTACCAAAGGCATGCTGCGATAGAATGTACTATTAGTAAAGATCAGCCGCCGCTGTCTGAGATTTATCTCAGTGAGATTTTTCAGATATGACGTCTAATATTTCATGCTTTACTGATTAATCATAAGGCTTGTTCAGATAAGTGTACGATGAAGAGCAATTCGATAACATTCTACTTTATACAATGTAGATTTAGAATTATTGTTTGTTTTTGCAAATATTACAATGCATTAGTTCTAATTAAGCAATATCCTGAAATATTGAATTTGAAATTATCTTCTAAATAAGATATTTTACATCTATTTTATACAAATTTATTATTTCTGATTCCAAAACGGAAATTGTATCAAAACCAAATATTATCTTTATACTGAATGCGTTTTCAATGTAATACAACACGATTTATACAAAAATTATGTATCTGGGAATCAGTGTCGTAAATTCATAACAATCATGACCTTCGTCGGCAGGATAGAAAATGGCGTTTCTCAATGCTTGCAACAAGGAGTTTAGCGCAATTATTACCAGAACACAACTTTGTGCTGTTTTTTTCTTGCAGTGGCACCGATATTTCTCGTTCTTACACTTAAGCGAAACTATTTTCTTACTTCTTTATGCGAGCCACTTTCTTTCATTTCAATTGCAATGATATTGTAGCATTGAGACATGTGAAAAATTTCTGCAATAACCTTGAATAAATGTTATTGACATATTTTATATGTTATGAATGAAGTGTTTATTATAAGTCCAGTAAAAAATTATAAGATTTAATAAAGTTATTTCTATAAATTTTATGAAATTTTTATAACTGAGAACTAGCTTTAACCAAAATTTTTATAATAACATAAAAGTAACAAAATTTTATATTTATTTGATATTATTAAAAGAATATTAGAAGTGTTTAACTTCAAGAGAAATAATATTTTATAAAAAATTCAAATCTTTCTCTACTCAACCTCTAATTGAATCTCTATTCAAAATGTTACATAAATTATTTTTTCAATCAATGAAATCTTTTACATTTACAGTTGTTTATTTGATTCTTGATAGCATAAATTCTAGATTGTTCTGATTTATTCTACGATTACGTGGATGACCTCTCAATTCTACGATCAATCGCGTTTCGAACCCCGTGAAATTGTATTGGGGTACAAATGCGGCGCCGTGCGCTCGTTAATCTTTTTTTCCATCAAAATCGTTACGTGTTACACGGCGAGTGATGTAACGTACGTATTGAACTACGAGTTCCTGTTCGATCGAGTTAGATCGACGTCGATCTGTGTAAAAGTCGAAGTTGGAGCAGCGTTTTCCGGCCACATCGCTGGCCGTAACGCACGAGAAATACTATTCTGACTACCGAATGATTTATATTCCGATGAAAATCACGGGCCGCACCATCTCGCTGCATTTTGCTACTGCCGCACATAAAGCCGATTCTACAAAATTTATCCATTTCGTCAGTTGACAAAATAATGATTTATTATAGCCCAGCTCCGTAAGTCATATCCATTTGCCACGTAAAAATTTTCCATCCAAGTTATCGCCTAAGGGAGTCTGTATAAATTCGCCGCATGTTGTCAGATTTATTTATTATTGATTGATACATACTTCGATATTGATTACGTTTTACAAATATATTTCCGTGTGACATGATTGCACAACAACTTATTTTGCAAATTAAACAAAGTCTCCTAAGACTCGAACAAATAATTACAGAAAACTCTACTCTATGCTTTTATATAGAGTTTTATGTATACTTATTTTGCATTTATTACATGCAAAACAATATTAGAAAGATAAAAACATATCTTATATCTCATTATTTAGATTGAAAACCTATTTTACTTTTTAGAAAGATACTACGTAATATGTAAGTCATATCCGTTTACCACATTTTCAATGTAGATATATCTTAAATTTGTATAAAAATGCAGCAACATATATAAATTTAATGTCGACATATCATTAATAGCATAGAACGTGTTTTAATTTTATTGCAAATATATAATATAAAACTATAAAATAATAAAATATATAATATAAAATAAATATATTATATATTAAAATATATTATAAATAAATAAATTATAAATAAATTATTATAAATATATATTTTTATATGTAATATAAAATTATAAATTTAATTTATATTGAGAAGGTATATTATGTATATATTTCGATTTGCGTTAAATTTAAAAAATGCCAAGATTTTTTTCTTAGATTTTTTGAAAAGTATTTCTTAAATTGTTCACATTTTACTAAAGAAAGTCTAATTACAAGACAAAAGATTTCTGAATCTTTAGAAGGTTCACTTGCGCTTTCTGTAGGAACCGTCACATGAATGCCGTGACGACGACAATGACGCGATGAGGCAATGTCGTGCTAGTTCTGTCGCGTTATTTAAAGCGAATGCATAATGTGGGTATGTAATGACTCGCCCTCGCGACTTGGTTGTTCATTATACCGGACGGGATGGGTGACGGCGCTGTCGTAAGACGGCTCAGTCGTAAGCGCGAAGTCGCGGTTGTGCAAGGGAAAAAAAAAACAATGAATTAAGTAAGACAAAATCGCGCTTTCACGCTGCTCCGTTGCTTCTTTCGCGCGATAATTAATTCGCCACATTGCTATTTCTACTGTTTGCACGATTGTTTGACCAGTTTCCGAGTAACAGTATGTACATCCTGAGACACGATACTTTCGCGATTGCTCCTAATCGCTGATGTAACGAACGACTTCTG